AAGCAGGTGTTTAACATTTATCTTAGGACATACAGAATAAATATGTCTCTAGAACTCACCTCCCAGCTCACATGTTATTTTCTCCCGTACCCAGGCTCTTATAAAATAGCACTTCTATTGTGTTCTATACCTTTTCCCCTAAAATAGCTTTTAAAATTTGTTAGAGATTCACAACCGAGCTAGATAATGAACTTTTGTTTCCGGAAGATACAAGCGTGTAGACAGAAGAAAAAGAAGAGAGTAAAACGGAGTCCATATTTGTGTTTCACCGGAACAACAAACAAACAACAACCCCTAACATTCCAAACTGTGCTCTCATCTAATGAAAGTAAGTTCTAATGTGTCAAAAGAAGGTTAAGTTTGAGAAAGTCCTAGCTTTGCATTGTTGTTATCGTGGTCTGTTCTGGCCATTTGGTATGTGGCATAGGGCAAGTTAACAGTAAAAGCTCATTTCCAAATTACATTTGAGTTGTCCCCATTTTTAAGTCTTATTGTAATTTGTCGGAGGTGGAAATGCATCTTGTCAAGTTAATCTTGTTTTGACTTGGACATCAGAGGAATGAGACTACTTTTATTGATAGATTCACTTCGTCCCAGCTCAACTGCTGTCAGTCTACTTCCCAAGACTCACACAACGGTTCAGAGACGATGGGACTTTCGTCGGGAATCAAACCAGCACTAAAGCAGGTTTCCCAATTCCTTGAAGTATCTTCTTTTAGAATACATTGGTAATTGATTCTTTCTCAGAAAATGATCATCACCATCCGCACAACTACAGTGGAGTAAAAATACACCTCTGAAACAGAACAATTTGCGTTGGTTTTTGCTTTCTTCTTATTATAGTCTGTTTCTCATGTCAGTGGGATCTGATTGGTGCTGTCCCTTTAATCTGTTGACATTATCTCCCAAATAAACAAGCTGCCATCGATCTTTTCATTAGGTGATCAAATAACAAATAGAGCAGGTGAAAAACAAGAGCATTAATATGCTTAAATTTCTTTAGCAGGCATCCTTGCAACATTATTGGAAGTAAAAGTTCTATTCCATAAGTATATGGAATGGATGCTACATCAGTTGTGTCTATAATATTTGCGTAGATACACATAGGTAAACACAAGCTTGTTATCTTACTGAGGGAAGTGAGTATATCGATACACGCGCATATCTTTGAATCTGTGTGTTGAATAGAAAAAAACAGGTCTCATAAGAAAATAATAAAAACTGGAGGCTATAAATATCTCCATCTATAATTCCTACAATCAGAATCAATATGCCTGAAATATAGAAAAACGGGCCATGATCTCAAGTTGGGTTGCTTGACGAGTCTCGGGAAAGCAGACTGGATGCTAGAAGCAAAAGTTATCCTTGCAAGGTACTGCTATACTATAACTCATTCACAGTGGGTTTCCAATGAAATGTAGACAGACGCTGCTTCCCATGTTAACCCCATTAGAAACACCGAATAGAAAAAGCAGTACTTGCCTGGTGAAGCCTGGTTTGGCCGGGGTTCTGGGTGCCAGCTGAAGCGATCCAGGTTCCGAGGAAACCTTTTCAAGGAAGAGCAGGGCACAAGCTGCTGGGTCCGTCCACCTTCTCTCTGGCTCTCTTTCACTCTCGCTCTCTCTCTCCCTCTCTCTGTGCCTTGCTCTGCCTCTTTTACTCCCTGTCTCTTCACAGTCTGGGGAGTAAAATCTAGATGATATACATACAGAGCTTGCTTTTTTTGTCTGATTTAATCTTATTCGTTTCACCTTTTCACTGACCAGGAGCAAGGAGCGAGAGTTTATTTGGAAAAAGGGAGAGAGAGGAAAGGAGCCCACTGTTGCATAGTCAATAACATCCTTTTTATCAATGCAATATACAATAGGGGCGGCTTGGCCAGGGGACTCATTGAAAATCTCTTCATTATTTCAGGACAAAACAAATCGTTTATTCTGATTTTAGAAATCTTCCTCTCAAACTGGCTCAAAATCTTACATTTGTGGGCTTGACAGAAAATACAATCATTATCAAGCCACATCTAAGGCTGTTTTTTTTTAATGAATGGAACATCTTTTTTTTAAAAGCTGTAATATTTCACATTTCCCTTTTCCTTGCAGGTTTTGCTTAGTTTCCAAACTGATTTAAAACTTTGATATGAGCTAAGGGGAGTTCATGCAGTTTCTTTCTTCTTTGTCACACACAGACACTCGACCCCATAGCGCATTTAAAACCTAGCACATAAGAGGACGTTGCATGGAAGAACTGATGGGAGACAGGAGGCTAGAAGAGGTATACAATTAAAAAGAAGGTTTGTTGCCCCAAAGCAGCTTCTTTATTTTGAAAAAAAAGTAATGAAAAGATTTTGTGGCGTCCTGCTGCTTTAGAAAAGGCACGGGCTTTGTGCACTGAGGAGAAAGGGGGGCGCTGGGGACTTTGCTGGGCTGAAGCTCCTAGGCTCGGTTCCTGTCCGCTAGATGGCAGCCGGATCCAGCGATTCCACTACCAGACAGTTGGAAGAGAGAGAGAGAGCAACCCCCCCCCCCACCCCCGCACATACTCCAACCTTCACTCTCTCTCTCTTTCTCTCTCTTCCTGGGACTTTCGTTTACCAGCATTGATCTTCCCAGACAACAAAACGAAAACTTACTTTTGTTTTATTAATAATTATTGAAGCATTGCTGGCTGTTTAAACAGCCTTGGAAAGGGACACTATTGGAAAGTGTAATCATCATCATAATTAATAGTAACCCTTCCAGGGGAAAGTGTTGATTTCTGCTCTCATTTTACGACACCGAGAATTCCACCAGTGTCATTGATCGTAATTAAAAATATCAAAGGAGGAAGAATATTTTAGGTAATAAATGGGAGCCAGCACCGTGGTATAGCAAAAAAGCAAAGTTGAAGTTTTTATATATATATAATAAGCAATGTAAGTGGGTATATGTATATATTATTACACTATATATATGTGTGTGTTCCACAAAGCAATTTTTTTTACTTTCAGTAATTAAAATTTCTAATAAGGTTTTTCAATTGGAAACATACAGAAATCTAATTAATAACCCACCCCCCAAAAAAAAACTTTTCCCCGTGAGTCAAAATAATTTCCTTTTAATTCCCCTTTTCCCCATTGCAATGCATCTCCCCCTTCCCTTCCCCCCCCCCACCCCGTCCTTTTGATGTGTGTGCGTGTGTGAGTGTGTATGACCATAGACGACCCATACTAATCAGGTCTCAAAGTAAATAGCAGCGCAGGGCGATCTCAATGTAAATTGTGCTTGTCAGAAGAATCCCCTTCTCCCCCCCCCCTTCATTCCCCAACCCAGTCAGTAGGTAGCAGAGAATAAAAAAAAAGAGGGGGGGCCTCTTAACCAATGGAGTGAAGGAGGCTTGGCTAACCTTAGCCTCCCATTTTCTCTCCCCCCAATTCAGGGCTCTGACCAGTCAGTCGCCTTTGATTATCAGTTGCCAGCAGCCCCTCTCTTGGCTCCTTGACATGAGCTCCATATAAGGCAGCGATCTCCATAGAAACGTGTCAGTTTCAATAGTAGTGTCAAAGTTCACTATATACAGACATTCGCGCAGATCCCCCTTTCGGAAACATTGCTCTGCTAGTCTTCCCGTTTAAACGCATTCATTTTTGGGTCTCTCTCTCTCTCTCTCTCTCTCTCCCTCTCTCTCTCTCTTCCTTTCTCTCTCTCCCTCTCCCCCCTTTCTTGCATATTCTATTAGGTTTTTTTTCTTCAGCTCCCTCTTCTCCTTCCTTTTCTTCTTTTTCTCTACCCTTCCTCCTAGTGTCTTTCGCTTCATTCCTGCAGGAGAAGAGAGAGGTGAAACTAAAAAAAAAAAAAAAAAAAAGAAAAAAAAAAAAAAAGAAAAAACCAAAAAAAAAAAAAAAAAAAAAAAAGGAAAAAAGAAGCAGCAGCAGCCCAGAGAGAGAGAGAGAGGACGCTTTCATATCTTAATATCATCATTTTTTCCATTATTGTCTATTTTTTTTATTTTGGAGGAGGCTTTTCGTCCTGGCTGATGAGTTTTTATCTGAAATACTTTTTTTGAGCAAAAAAGAGAGAACATTTTCCCGCCGATCTCCAGTGATTTTTGTAACCAGCATCGTGTATTATAATCGAAGAAGAAGGAAGGAGCAGGAAAGAGGGAAAGAAGAGGATTTATTTATTCGACCTACTTTGGATCTCTCGTTTTCTGCGTGTGCCATTATTATTCATATTCTATTTTTTTACACTTCGCCGTGAATTCGTCTCCTCTGCGAATTAGTCACATCCAATTGCTTTTGTATTTCTTTGGTAAAGAGAAAGAGAGAGAGAGAGAGAAACAACAACCAACAGCAACAACAACATCAAACTGTCTAATCTTCAATCCCTCCTCGATCGCGTTTCCCAAGACTGGTTTCCTGAATGGCTGACTGCGTTTTGCCCTGGACCTGGCCCCCGGACACTTTTATCCCCTGATCATCGGCAGCCTTTTTCTCTCTCTCTCCACCATCCTCGCCCAGGCCTGCGCCCCCAAAAGAGCCCAGAGCGCCGGCGGCGGCAACTGGGGACAAGCAGCGGCACCAGCACCGGCCGGGCCCCGGCAGCGAGCAGCAGCGGCGGCAGCACCGACCTCCTCCTCCTCCTTCTCCTCCTCCAGCTTCCTCTATGTCTGCACATCCTTTGCACTCCTAGCGCTCGGACTGTGTGGCGGGTGCGTGCGGTGTGTGTGTGTCCGCCGATCGCCTCCCCCGTGCGACTCTCCTGCATGCCTCTCCCCGCAGCCCGGCCGGCCGCTTCTCATTTTGCAACTTGAGGGAAAAAACATATTTAAAAAAAAAAGCGGGGGGGGCAAAAAAATCCTTCATCCCTCCCTTCCCCCCACAGAGAGCGAGAGAGCGAGGGAGAGAGAGAGAGGAGGGGGTTGCAAAAATAAAGAGAAAGAAAACGGCAGAAACAGCTACAAGAAGCAGCAGCAGCAGCACAAGGGCAGCAGCAGCAGCAGCAGCAGCTGAAGCAGAGGCAGGCAAGATTCCTTCTCTCTCCTCTCTCCCCCAAATCCGAGCCACCCACTCCCCCCCGCCCCCCTCCTCTCCCCGGCAGCCCTCCGCGAGAAGCTCCGCTCCCCAGCACTTTTTGGGCCCGAGATATGGCAATGGTAGTTAGCAGCTGGCGAGATCCGCAGGAAGACGTGGCCGGGGGCAACCCGAGCGGCCCCAACCCAGCAGCTCAGCCGGCCCGGGATCAGCAGCAGCAAGCGGCCTCGGCGGCCCCGCACACCCCGCAGACCCCTAGCCAGCCGGGACCCCCTTCCACCCCGGGCACAGCTGGGGACAAGGGCCAGAGCCAGCAGGGCTCGGGCCAGAGCCAGCAGCACATCGAGTGCGTGGTTTGCGGGGACAAATCCAGCGGCAAACACTACGGCCAATTCACCTGCGAGGGCTGCAAAAGTTTCTTCAAGAGGAGCGTCCGCAGGAACTTAACTTACACATGTCGTGCCAACAGGAACTGTCCCATCGACCAGCACCACCGCAACCAGTGCCAGTACTGCCGCCTCAAGAAGTGCCTCAAAGTGGGCATGAGGCGGGAAGGTGAATATTTCTTCCCTATTCTACTCTCCCTCTCTCTGTAGCTCGGGGTGTATGTTTGCAATCCATCTACAGCTTTGCACCCAGGCTTTTGGTTTGCGCTGATGCCCTCCTCCTCTCCTCCCCCCCCCCCACACCACCACCGCCGCCGCACACTTCCCTTCCCTGCTCACTGGGATGGGAATTTATTATGATGATCAGTCACTAAATATTTATTATTTCTCCGGTATCACTAGTATAATCTCTCTGTGTGTATGTGGTTTTGTCTATTGTTGACGTGAGGCTGGGGGGACATCATTCTTTACAAGATGGGTTTCCTTCTATTCCCCCTCCCTCCCTCCATATATAAAATTTAAACCCCCCACAACACTTCGCAGTAGATCCATTTCCACCATCATCTTTCCTGAAAGAAAGATGAAAGACATGTAAGTGGGGGGAAGGGGGAGAGAGAAAGGAAGGGGGAGAAATATGCTACTGTATCTCAGCTTGCTTGTGCTTGCCAGTATGGTAGAGTCTGCCTCTTGCAAGATCTGGCCTTCTTTTCACTCCATGCTCTCAAAGGAAAGTTTGTGACTGAACCGTGTTTTTATAGTCCTGTCATTTTTTAGCATGCTGCTCATTTTATTTCTCCATCAAACTCCACCCTCTGTTTAAATACTGCATACAAATTACAATTTACAACATATTTACTGATCCTTCTGATTTTAGCATAATACATAGTCTGTTTCTGGCATGAGCTCCCCACCGTTTCAAATGCTATTTTTCAGAGTAGTTCTGATGTTTGCTTGCAATATGTCTCATTTTCCTGTAGTAAGACTGGCTGCACTATATTTTCTAACTATATTTAGCAGTTTACAGTTAAAGTTCACCTTGTGACTATCGTTAAAGATGTCTTATAGGCAAAGAAGCGAAACAATCAATTTTGTGGAGTGGGGATTACTACTTCTTTAATTAGTTTTAAAATTATATTTTATATGCCACTAGAAAAGAAAGTGAGTTCTTTCAGATATGAAGGAGCTCGCACGTAAGACGACTTCATTTGTAGCTTCAGGGAACTGTTTGTAGGCGTCTGGGAAAAAGCAAACTTAGAATTGTGTTTTCATTTAATTGAAAAATAACTGCCAAGTTTAAAACTATAATTAGATGGAGAGGGAAAAAAGGAGTCCAGCCACTTAGATTTTGAGGGCTCAATTGGAATTTAGGTTTTAATCAATACTATAATAAAGGATAAAGTTACGAAAATATTGCACGCTCTAAACTGGAAAAAATAAATTATATAGAGGTGTGTGTTAATAATAAACCACAGTAGCCGTATCTTCTCCTTGAATTATCTTTGTTTACATTGCATGCAGTTTAGAACACTGACACTGATGAAGTAAAACATACACATACTAAAAAAAAAACTTTGGTCAGCTTTAGGAACTCAAAGCATGCTTACGTTTTGTATTGAGATGGTTAATGAATCCAGTGTTTTTGCAGTTGCTAGCTTGTGCATTCAGTGTGCAAAGCTGTCTACAGGCTTTTGCAGTTGCAACAACGCAGCAAAGATATTAATTAAACCATCGCATTTTTTCACTAATGTTTGGCTACTGTAAGTTCAGACTCTTTCCCCCCCCCCCCTTTCGAATATTTAATCTTTCTCTTCCTTCTATCAGTGAGAACTTTGCTGGGCACGTATCGGATGCTTGCTCCGTGTAATAAAAAGTTAGAAGTGGTTAGCTGGGGGGCTGTGACCTGATCCAGTTTTAAGGATAATTGGATGGTATTTTTAAAGAATATGGACACATTTATTTTTTTAAAAAACAATTTGCTTGTAAATCTACATGCTCCTCGGACAATGGACTGGGAAATAAGAAAGAGCTATGGTACCTATATTTTTACCAGATTGCTGGGATTTTTACCCCAGACAGCACGCTACAATCCGGAGGATTTCTTTTATTTGTGTTTTGCTGGTTGCTTTCCTTTTGCTGCCAATTGGGGGAGGGTGGATTGTCTCGTTGTTTTGGTTGGGATTTTTTTATTTGTAATTTGTATTCTATTTTATTTTGTTGGCTGTGCTGGTGATGGGGCCGGGATGCCTGTACAGGGGCTGAGGGTAAGGAGATGCAGCCTGTTATGTATACACTGCTCCATGTGTATATGCTGTCTATAGCTCTCTGTACGTGTGTGTGTGTGTCTGTGGGAATAAGCCCTGCATTGTCTCCGGATCGGCTGTAACGTGTTAGGCGATGTTTGCAAGCCTCCTGGATGCACATTTCCTCTCCTTTTCTCTTTCTTTTTGTCAGCGGTTCAGCGAGGAAGAATGCCTCCAACCCAGCCGAACCCAGGCCAGTACGCGCTGACCAACGGGGACCCTCTGAACGGCCACTGCTATCTGTCGGGATACATCTCGCTGCTGCTGCGGGCCGAGCCCTACCCCACCTCGCGCTACGGCAGCCAGTGCATGCAGCCCAACAACATCATGGGCATCGAGAACATCTGCGAGCTGGCCGCCCGCCTGCTCTTCAGCGCCGTCGAGTGGGCCCGCAACATCCCCTTCTTCCCCGACCTGCAGATCACCGACCAGGTGGCCCTGCTGCGGCTCACTTGGAGCGAGCTGTTTGTGCTCAACGCGGCGCAGTGCTCCATGCCCCTGCATGTGGCCCCTCTGCTGGCCGCCGCCGGCCTGCACGCCTCGCCCATGTCCGCCGACCGGGTGGTGGCCTTCATGGACCACATCCGCATCTTCCAGGAGCAGGTGGAGAAACTCAAGGCCCTGCACGTCGACTCGGCGGAGTACAGCTGCCTCAAAGCCATCGTCCTCTTCACATCAGGTGAGTGTGCTCGGGGGAGAGAGGCCAAGGGCTGGGGATGGGGGAGCTGAGGGGAGAGGTCGGAGAAGGCGAAAGAGATCACTAGGCAACAGCAAGAGCAAAATCATAGGGTCAAACCTCCCAGCTACCCCCCCCCCCAAGCCAGGTTGGGTTGGGGTTAGGTTAATAAAACCCACTCGATTTGCAAATCAATGTGGCTCCCACGTTTATGGGAAGAGCTGTAGATGGCTGGAGTTCTATACACACTATATTCCATTATCCCCACTGCCAGGGTTTGTGCTCCTTGTTTCCTTGGATAACGGGGTGTGGAGGTGGGAAAAAAAGAGAAATATTACCATTTATCTGCGCGTGTAAGACTGACTGTGTGCCTGCGAGAGAGAGAAGGGATCTGGGTTTCTTGTGGTACTTTAACTGGTAAGGAGGTTCTCCCTGAGAGTGTTAAAAGGAGTGCATAAGCACAAATAAATCATAAACAATACTGATTTATTGCTGCCTGATTTTCCCTTATCGGAAACCATTCATGTTTGCAGTTGCAGAGGTTATTGAGGATCGTAAAAAATGGATTCGATCTAAAAGAGAAAGGCAAAAAAAAAAAAACAACAACCCCAACAATAGAAACAGCAAGTCGCGGGGGAGGGGGAGGGGGTTATGTACCAGCTTACCAGCCTAGAGAGAAATCTTTTTGCTATGCAAACCACACAAATATTGGAATTTTAACAGATTGCCTGAAAAAAATACCAAATTAAGTGTAGGAGGTGGTAACATGCATGCATGTATGTTAACATTTTTTTCTCATGATAGATGGTTCAAATTAACTTGCAGGAAACTGTATTAACTTCGCTTTGAAGTGTTCGGGTTGTAGCCTATAAGACTATAATACATCTTTTATTATTGTAACCTTCGAGGGGGAAATATATAAACATCAAAGACGAACAATTTTCGGAAAATATAGGAAATATAAACAAAGCAAGATAAGAAGCCACTCAATGTTATTTTCTTTTTCTTTCTGTCTTTTCCTTTTTTGAACCAGTCCTCCCATTTAGCAATAAATAAACAGTTGTAATAAATCTATCTTGAAACTAGGCCGAAGCAAAATTAAAAGCATTCTTGAACAAAGATGGCAAATCGTTCAAAGGCCTTGTTTAACAGTAAGCAGTTTATAATCCATCAATATTTGTTGCCTTTCATGCATGAAAAATAGTATTTACATGGTATTAAAATGACTCTTAAATTTGCACAATATTGTAATGTAGCAAATGTAGTATTAATATCGATTTGAACATCAGATAATTTATTTAGACAGGAGTATCTAATTTGTATGCAGGGTGGTCAGAGACATGTACTTTGACTGCCCCCTTTTACTTTCAGTGCAAATGCAGTCTTGTAGTGTTGGAGGGAATCTTTCTTTGCGAAGGATAAAGTACAGATCTTAAAACAAATGGGAGATTTACTGATTAGCCATCTCGACATTTTAATGCATTTTATCTTAATAAGTCTTCTTGATGGAAACATGTTTTTCAAAGGTGACAAAGAGACTGGGCAGCATTTATCAGCCTGATTTAACTCGAGTCGGTCTGCAGACTTACATTCCATACTCATTCATTTCAGAATGTTCATCAGTAGACAGACCAATCTCTGAGAACCTTTCTGTTTTTAAACATATATTGAAGAAATTATTGTAAAATAGAGGGAGAACTGGTGTGGTGTTTAGTAGTTATTAAAAGAAAAGACACCTGAAAGGCGTTTGCCCTCATCTTTCCCCCCAAATTCTGGACCTGGGCTATCTGTGTAACTGGTGGCTTTTTTTTAACTCCTTCTTTCTATATTAATAGTAATGTATTCAAGTATATAATGAAATATTTACCAAGGGAGGAGCTTGCTCCAGCAATTGACTAAAGCAATGAATGGGGTTTAGGAAGAGAACAATAATATTATTTTGGAGCAGAATAGCATGGGGCATATTAGAAGATGAAAATACAGCTGTCAGTAGTAATTTACCCCTTTCCCTTACCCCCAAACACACATTTCCACTTTTGACTAAACTTGTTTTGATTGCTAGCCAGAGGGGAATTCATGGGAAGCCTTTCTCGAAGTCATCCAACTTTTAAGCAAACTTTGACTGATAGAAAATACATTTTTAGACATATTGTCCAAAGCAGTTTACTAAACACTGAGTATTTAAAGCTGGCATGAGGTTATCCTGGTGTGTTTTTTACGTTTGGGGTCCGGATAGTATATTTAATCTTTAAAATTCTGGACACCATCCAAGAACTAGGTCGTGACCCAAACGTACTTCTCCTTAAAAAAAAACTTTATTAATTTATACACCTACATTGTTCTTCTAATAAATAAAAGTTCCCACGAAGGGACCAGACAAAATAACATAAATTCAATAAATCTATTTGCAGCGCAATAAGAACTTTGATTTCCAGTTATATGCCAGTTGATTACATCTATATTTTCTGAACACTAAACTCTTCTGAATGCATCACGTGAAATACATTCCCTGTACTACAAAGGATGAGGCTGGAGTGTACTGAACAGTAATGGTTATTTATTTACATAATTTCTTTTCCATAGACTGCAGGAAGAAATATTGAGCTCTCCCTTATTGACACATTGCCATATAAAAAGTGAGACACAGAATTTCCACATTAGCCCTCCCTTTATTAACTGAGATATAATTCACGGATGGTAAATATGTATTGCATTACTTCTTACACATATTCCATTTCTCCGGACTCAATAATCTAATCGGTTTTATACCATATAGTGTTTAATTTTTTAAATCTTGTTTTAAGCGGTTGGGGGGAAAAACTTTTAGGGTGCTAAATACAATTCAAATAAACAAATATGCCAGGGGCATGTCAAATAATTAAGCGAGAGTAGATATTATCTGCATTAGAAAATTGTAAGTGTTTCTGTGTCTAATATAAAATCTAAGACGTATTCTTTCCCCCTTTTTAACGTATTTCTATCAAGTAACTTCCCAATCTTGATTGTCCAGTGACTCTGCATTGTAGGTGCACTTATCGTAAATATCTGATAAATATTTTACTAACCTTAAGGGTATGACATATGGGGCCTAAAAAAATCTGTTGGGCTATCAGTAAGACCCTTTCATATTGCATTGTTTGGAAGTTGAATGGGATCCTATTGCATAATGAGCAGATGATACATGTAAAATACCAAGATATATGTAAATATGGAGTGTGATTTGTGGCAATCAGCATATGAACAGGACTGTGTTTTTGATATATATTTCAAACAAGAACAGGCCTATTCTTTTGATATAGGTATAGATATAGATATTGCAGCCTGGTGCTTTAGATGTTGCAAAATAACATTGCATTAAAGGTACAGTATGGATTAGCAAAACAGTCTGGCTTGGATAATAGTATATCTGAGGGATGCCTAGTCCGTAGCTCAGGTCAAAGGCTCTTTTCCTCAGAAGTTCTTGAATCATAGCTTGTTTTATTTGTATTTTTGCTCGAGGCCATAGTATGGTAGATGAAGGTGTTCAGAAATCTTTTTAAATTCAGTTCTTGAAATAGAAAGACATAAACTTCAAAAATCCAGTTGCCAGAGATTTTTGCTTTGAATAATTTGTTGTGTCTTTCCAGGGTCATAAATTTACATTCACAATTTTGTAATGTCCTTTTGGGGCCATTAACATGCATTAATTCATATACAGATCTATATAATAGCAAAGTCTGGCTTTGATCTATAGTAAACCACACTGCAACTGACTGCTCGCCTGTGAGCCTTATGTTTTAAAAATATTTATTATTAATATACGTAACAATGTGGATATTTGAACTATAGGGGCAAATCCATTATATTTGCCCCTATATAATGGTAGGCCGCTATATGATGGTAGTTTCCTGAGCAAGTCTCTCAACGAATCAGCTGATACACAATAATTCGCTGTTTTGGAATTATAGATAGATAGATAGATAGATAGATTCAAATTCATGTTCTCAGATTAGTATGCAGTTGCCTCGATCGCATCGTTCTGCCGGATATGAAGGATATACTTCTGGCTATATATATGAAATATACACATATATGAAGGATATATTTCTGGTTACATTTAGGCAATGCTCATGCACTGCAGCCGCTTCCAGCTTTATGGCTGATAGCTGCAGATGTCTGCTTAGCACAATCTGGAGTAACTGAGCCATATTCCTCTTAGATTATTATACAGTTTACAAAGATGTGACCTATTTTCAATTACTTGATCCCAGATACAGAGAGCAGTGCAGCCTCTCTCTTTGGCATTACACTGCAGATTCCGGGCAAGAGACTCCAAATCCCATACTGCGAAAGCATTTTGACTTGTTCGGATTTCCAGCCTTGTCCAGAAACTCGGCGTATTTGAATTAATTAATCAATGTATGTATTTATTTAGCATGCAGCATAGATGCAAGCCACATTTAGTATAAATCCAAACAATGGCTCTCCTGGCTCTGTGTTTGAGTTGTATTCATGGTACAACACTCATCAGTGTGTAGATTAAAACAAAATCGTGAGCATAATAGCCCCGTTCCTCCTCTCTCTCCCCTCTCAGAGGCTGATAGTCTCCTGACAGAGGACAGGTTGCTGTGGCTTGGCTGTATGGCTTCAGATCTCGCCCCCCCCCCCCCACACACACACACACACACAGCGTCTTACATTATTTATTTCCAAGGTGGAGGAGGAAACACAAAGGGAGGTTTTGCCTGTGCGTCTCTCTGTCTGTCGGTGTGGCTGCTCGGCTAGCCCTGCCTGGGTGCTGATGTGGGTGTTATGGTTGGAAGGGGCGGTGGGACGGTGTATTTAGTCCCTGTGTATGTGTGCTGTTTGCTCGCTTGCTTACTGAGTAACTAACTGTTTCCCCTCCTTGTCTCCTCCTGGTGTGTGGCTGCCTGGGCAGATGCCTGTGGCCTGTCAGATGCTGCCCATATCGAGAGCCTGCAAGAGAAATCTCAATGCGCCCTGGAGGAATATGTGAGGAGCCAGTACCCCAACCAGCCGAGTCGCTTCGGCAAACTGCTCCTGAGGCTGCCTTCCCTGCGCACCGTCTCGTCCTCAGTCATCGAGCAGCTCTTCTTCGTCCGTTTGGTAGGTAAAACCCCCATTGAAACCCTCATCAGAGATATGTTACTGTCTGGGAGCAGCTTCAACTGGCCTTACATGTCTATCCAGTGTTCCTAGAGCACAGCCAACACCCCCATAGAGACACTGAGGACCAACACAAACAGAAATATACGAACCGAGTAAAGTTGGGGTGCAGAGAGGGGGGGGAAGCAGACAATAAACAAAAAAAAATAAAGACTCGTGTAGGATCAGATCTGTGACCATGTTTGAAAGGAAAAGAAAGGACCTTGTGTCTGTGGAAAATTTTGGAAAAAGGACCGAGGGATTTTAATAAAACCAGAAGGAGAATAATGGATCTTCCAGGATTTATTGTGGACTGATGTGGATATATTCTGTACAGAAACAAAGAAACAAACAAATATTGACGCTGAACTGAATCTTGTGTAGAAAACACACACACGCAAACACTTACCACGAACATTGTTATTCATTTTGTAAAATATTAGTCTTTATTTTCATTTTTTGGTAAAATTTAAAACATCGTATGCGCATAAAGAAAAAAGAAACAAGAATTAGGGGAAAATAACATTTTCCAAATAATTATAAAAAACAATTGTCCTGTGTCTATGTATCTATATCTGTTTTGTATTTTTTTCTGGTTCCAAACCAGGTTTCCTGTGATTCTATACTAATAATTTTTGATATAACCCTTTGCTTCTTATAATGAGTGCGATATATGTTGTCGAAGCTGTTCTTCAAGAATTAAAATTGAAGTGAGAATTTAAACAAAAATAAAAGAATTTAGCAAAAAAAAACATTAGTCTTGTTGCTTGACCATGCCAACAGAGTTTACTAACGTATACTCCCTCGTTTTTAACTTCCAGTGGGATTAAATGGGAGAACTTTTAAAAACTTGTAGGGGGGCTACAAAGTTGTATAAAACACACAGTGTTCCAAAACTGATTTGATTGTGTAAATTTAGGATTTAAGAGACAGATGCGAACACACACAGTTCAATGTCATAGATGAATCAATTTATCTGCGATTGTATCACAAAGCTAAGTGCATATACCCTGGTCAACGCATTTTGAAACACCTTTCTTGTCAGTTGAAGCTTCTGCTAAGTTTAGACAGTGCTATTTCCTTTTAGAATTCATGGGCAAGGTTTGGAGTCACTGTATTCTACCATCACTGTGCAGTAATGTGCAATATAAGGTATACTGTAGTCATTTTGCCTGATATTCGTTTGTTAAAAGCTTAGTGGGGGTTTCCCCCCAAGAATTCAAAGACCCAACACTGTGTGGTCTGATTGTGTGCTGCATTTGCTATCTTCTGCTGAAAGGATCGGTATTATTGTTTTTCTCTCCTCCAGTCACTAAATGTAAAGGGTATTCCCATCTCATTAATACAGAAAGCTAACTGGAGGTTTGCTCGTTGGGTGGTGTATATGTGTGTGTGTGTATGCGTGTATCACACACACACACACACATCCTACATGGATTATTGTGCTGTAACTCTATAAAATGAAAATTTGAGAGGTTTGCAAAAGCCCCGGTTTTTTAAATAAAAAAAAAATCGTTTCCATAATGGAGCCCCTTCGAAGGTGAAGGCTTCACAATGCTTCTAGCTGGTGGTGCTGATCTCTGTAGCAGCTTTCAGTGCATTAATGTTTTATGGGATCTGAGACGGAGCTGTAAGAACACATACTGCCAAGGGAGCTCTTTCTTAACGTATTAATAAAGCTGGATCTTTTAACAATAACATCCCCACACACACCTCCCGCGCCCTCCAAACAAACCCGGATGAGGCAGGATTTTCAATTTGAGGAGTGATCGGCAATGGTTTTCTTTTCATTTACTGTCCAGATTTTTTTTTTTTTTTTTGCATTAACAAGATCCTTCAATCCAACTCGCTTGGGGTTTTTTAATATTCTAGGCGCAGCAGATCCGAAGCGAGAGCAGTTCTATCAGTAAGCACTTATAGCTGGATAATCAACATTGCGGGCAGACATTCTATGGGGGTACAGTCAATTTCAATATGGAGACTCAGGCTGTCTCCCTAGTAGCCGCTATGTGTATGATCATTGTAACCCTGGGCACACAAGGGTGGAAATTAGACACAAATACTCTCTCTTCCCAACTCACATGAGCGCTAATAGGCGACAGCTCTGTTCCTCATCCTGGTTGACTTCCCCAGGCAGAGAGAGAAAGAGGGTACACCAGCCTCTCTGAAAGAGAGAAAAGGGAAAGGCAGACACTGAACACAGACACTCAGCACTTGGAAATACTGAAAGTAATCCTTTATCATTGGTGGGATGGGTGCCGGGGGATACAGTGGCTCGAAGCAAAGAGAGATCTAGCTTTCCTCCAATGAGATGTAAATATATTCATTACAGCGTTATCCCACTAATGAAAACAGATAAACTTTTTCGTAGGTCAGAAACGTATTTTTCAATTAATTTTCATGTTTATGAATAATACTAGCCCACCGATTGCCACGAAACTTGCAGGTTAGGTGAGGTGTAAGAGATGCAGTTATTGCCATGTATGTGATTAGAAAGAAGTGTTTAATTCCCTTATTAAACTTTTGCTGATATATGGTATTGTGTTCTGAAGTGTTAACTATAAAATGTTTATTATGCTCGTGAACATTTTCCTTAGCCACTTTCAAAGTTCCTGGGCATTCATATATTTGCTGAAACTATTGTACCATTTGTCACAGTCACACAGTATATGCTACAATGTTGATGTGGAGAAGGGCCAGGGTCCCTTGTTGACATACCATGTACTGTTTTAAAACCAGCTCGAGTTAAATTTCTCCTCGGTGTTATCTTGTTTAGACTTAGACTCATTCTTTGACTCCGTTGCATCCCCCTCTTAAAGAACTTCATAGCTTTGTTGGTGTCCCTGGTTGTGTTAAATACAGTGGGGTTTGCTCTACTGGCTGCAAAAAAGTACGCCACTGGCTACTTCTTTACTAAGAAGGTGTTTGGTTTTCGCCCTACAGTAACATTATGTGCTCATTAAAAGTTTGTCAGCAGCAGCACTCAGAAACCCAGCAATAGTGTAACGTATATACTTATGTTAATGCAGGGGTTTAGAGAGCCCCGATAGCAACATACACAAAGGGCTATATACCTTTGGCGTCGCACTAACTAGCTGGTCTCCTCCCACTCCCCAATTAAGTCTTTTATATTCAATCAAATAAATATTTGGAAATTTTTCCAAATGGTAGGTCGAACCACAGCTGATGCAAGGATTTCGTGGTAGACTGTCACGGGATGACTTCTGACTCTTCGGGGAGCTTTAATAAATAGTGCAAGTGTGAAGGTTTGGTCGGTGTTGTTCTTGTCTTAAATATGAGTGGGGAATTGTATCTGACCCTTTTTTCTGTGTATATTTCAATACATAGCTACACGACTCTGGGGAACATATTTGCCCGTGTTGCTCAGACAACTTGTGAGTCGAGTTTTGGCAGTTCTGAGTCAATCTCCTTAACCTGAAGAGAAGAAAGCGATTTGAAACATTCGCAGGATAGAAAAGGATGGCCTCAAGTTCCCTTCAGTCCCTCAGAATGAGGTGGCATTTAAAAAGCTCTGTAAGTGGCACATTTTACTGCACACTTAACGGGGCGAATTTAATAATGCGTTGCAGAGGCAGGGTGTCCTATATTTAAAACGCTCTTTTAGTACGAAATAAATAATGGATATTATAGAAAGCGTTTTACGAATGCCTATGACTTGAGGTCATTTTAAGTTACATTAAAAGGTAAAAGTACTAAAGGAAAAGTAAATTCAACGTTCATTAATGCAAAGGAAACTCTGTTTGGCTCCAAACACAAAGAGAAAATATATTTAGCAGTTGGAAAGGGCTTAACCCAAAGTATCTTCCTTTAAAAAAATTACCTGTGACATATGAAAGTCAGACGTTCCCTTTTCAACAAACACACTCACTGAGCGACTGAGAACTTTCGCTTATTTGAAGTAGAGTTAAACTGTTGTAGACACAAGCTTCACTTATAAATCAAAAAGGGGAAGCTCAGGGAAGTTTCCCCAAGGAACTGCTAGACTAGTGTGAGTGCACATTATCCGCCTTGTGGAACAGCCTACTGGAATAGATAGAGATTTTTTCCCCCACCAGTTACACCACCAATAATCAAGTGAAGAGACATTCATAAACAATATCCCCTCCTGATATGTACACGGTCATTACAGATACTGGCGGGATACTTCCTCGGGTTTCATGGGACATTTTGACTATTCAAGAGGCTAGTTTGTGGTGTTTTACACTCCTGAACCTGAAACTTACTCGATCTGCGATTTGGAGCAGTGGCAAATCGCCTCTTCAACCTCTTCCTGTTTCTTTACATCGTTTTTATTCTTAGTTTAGAAATGGAATGATCTCCCAACAGTATTTAAAAAAATCAAAAGTGACCCTTTTCTAATTAGCGTGCCTGCCATTGGCTTTGATGTGGTTTTACATCACATGGGTCAGAGCAAACGAAAATTAATATTTTCCAATGGTTCATTGATTGCTTTTCTTAAACATTTTCCTCTTCGCCAGCACGTTGTTCTGTTACCTTGCAAACCTACCGGGTTTCCCAACATCTATGATGTGATGATTCTCCTGATAGAAGTCGTTTTTTTTTTAAATGGGGGTAGGAGGAATATGGGCACACAAGTGGAAACTAATCAAACTCTTGTTAAAGGGCTCGCTCAGGATCCATGGCGTCACCAGGTCTTTTACTTAGGAAGCCAAAGAGTTTTATTCCTAAATGAGTTAAAGAGCCATTTACCTCTGTCGTGTTCTATTCATCAAGCCACAAGTCGAGATTCCCTAACATGAAACTATTTGTTTGCTTACACAACCAGCTGGGCGCAATTTCACGTCTGAGATATCTATCTGAAAGCGCCTCTCATTTATTATCCTTACTTGTCAGCGAAACCATTTCCCAACTTTGGTTGGCTTTCTTTTTCATTGAAGGATCTGGACTTAAATACTCCCCTAAATATTTCAGTCTCCCCCTCCGATCACATAGAGCATTCAGCGCAAAACAGCTGGAGAATAAGGCGAAAACTGCAGAAATCAGAAAGGCTACAGTTGGCCAGGTGCCTTCAATATTACAGCTATTTCTCCTAACTCTCTCTGGGTGCCTGCTTGCTGACTGGGTTAAAAAAATGGAGCTTCCTGCTGCATGTTTTCTCATCGTTCCTCTGGTGCAAGGTGCAACCACCTGTAAAACAAATTAAAGCAGGACTGGGGTGGGAAAACATTCTTTTATTTCCCTGTCGGTTACAAGTACAATATATTGCTGGGAGCTGCTGTAAGGTTTCACGGTGTAAAATCTATGACCTTGGTGATTGTGTCCAGTTTATTGCTTCTGACCTGGCTACAGTGGTCACTAAAATAGAAATACTTGC